CTGCAACAATATCAACAATAAGTGAAGAAGTCATTATATAACAAGTTCATTAAGATTTGAGATCTTAATAAATTAAGTTACATAATAGTCATAAAAATAACGTGAAACTTTAATAAAACTACCATTTTTTTAAATTGTAAACTATTTTAAACCTTTCAACATTGCAAGAAAAATTCAGCAACTTCCAGTAACTGTTAAAAATTGGGTATCCAAACGTTTAATGCCATTGCACAAATTTGCAGGTTGGTCAGACAAGTTCAGTACTTAAATATGAATCCTTATTTATCTAAAAGCATATTTTGGAATAGTTGCTGTATTCATCTCTTGCCAGAACCCATGAAAACCATAAAATACAGTATTTGTGTTTTTCCTTGCTCTACATTTCCTAAATTGTAATAAATGGTGCTTTTAAGATTTCTGTTTGTGCGCTTTGACAAATGTAAACACTTTTAGCCAAATATAACTGTGACTGTGTTTTTAATACTCTAATGGAGTCTTGATGTTGGCCTCGGCCTGCCAGGATAAATGATGTGACCTTTACTCCTTGCAAATGGATTCACAAACCACAACATTCCAGTGACTTGATGAACCCAAAGGGAGCGTCACACATGGGAGCAAATCCTAATTTCCTTTTATATATATATTTTTTTTTCTCTCAAATGTGTTTTTCTTGTATTTTTTTCCTATAAGTGAAAACTCACTGTTTGTGTCTCATTCCTTCAGACACAAATTAGCATAGCCAATTAAAATTAAAGCCCACCCAGCTGTGCCGTAATACGGGAACATCCCTCGGGTGGCCTGGCACTCCTGAGTGACGCACACTCATCCAGGTTCAGGCTGCAGGAGATCAGCTGCTGCAAGCCCACCAGTACAATCGATCTAACAAATCTTTCTCCCAGTGAGACAGATATCTGAAACACATACAAAGACGTGCTCTGTTCCGAGTCCCATAATCACATTCGAACAGCAAACACATTCAGACCACACAGGATATTAAACCTGAAGAGTGAAGCAGCATTTATCATATGCTCATTCATTCGTTATCTCCATTCTGCTCTCCCTTTTCCCTACCTATCCTCCCTCTCTCTTTCCTCCACAGCCTTTGTTTATGTAATGCAGATTTTTGACACAATAACAAATATTAAAGACTATTTTCATTTCTTCATATCCTGACAGATACTCCTCTTCCACTTACATTTTCCTCCCCCCCTTTTTAGATTGATGCCATTCACAGTCAGTTCATCTCTAATATCCCTACACTGATGCAACGAGTTCCTTATTATTACAAACATTTTGATGTTTTAGGCTGTGCTGCTCATGATACAGGATAATGGAGCACATATTTTCACCAGGACCTTGTTCAACCTGGGCCCAGCTCCACCACGCTGCACATAAGTGGTAGTTTGTCTCCTTTTATAGCCTACTGAGTGGAGGCCGAGCCAAGAGCCACTGAGTGACCATCGCATGCAGGCTGAAGAAGACGAGACAAACAGCCACTGTCGTTCCTCAATCGACTGACACAAAATGGCTAAATCAGTTTAAAGCAACTGTAACTAAACCCAGTGAAGGGAGCAGGAAGACTCCGAGCGGGGAGAGAAGGAGGAGGGAAGGAGTAAAGAACTTTCAGGAGGAATGACAGTAATCCATTTCATTGTTGGTAAGACAGAACAGCACTGATCCTCTCATTATTTGCAAACACAGTGTAGAGATTTCTTAGGGATATACAAACACAAAGATGGATTCATATCACACGTCTGAAGCCTGGTTTATGGTTACTTTTTTCTATTTTTTTTTTTAATTCAGCGATACTACCAACCTTGGAAATAATAGTTTAGATCATTTAAAGTGTGGTTTTGTAAAAGGAAAAAAAAAAAGTTATGAACAATTAATATCTTACCTGTTATAGATAGCTCTTTGAATGAGAGCAGTTTGGTGAAATGGAGTTTAAATCACTTTCTGCACTAATCTTATAATACAGTATCTCTCATATTCACAATGTAAGGTGATGCTGATGGTGATGTACAGATATGTAAAACTGATTACCTGAACTGTTAATAAATTATTTTATTATTTTCTCATCTACTGTATGACCCTAACTCCCTGATACCAGCGTTGTCCTCATAAAACGGCTTTCCTTCGCCATGTTTCGTTCAGCTTAAACCTGCTGCACTTAATGAGGCCTCTCGCTTTTAATTTTTTAATATTTGATTTAGTTTCTATTGGCATTTATAATTTAAAAAAAAACATAAAGAGTGTATGTTTTATTACATTTTAAAAGGTCCTTCAAATTCAAATAGCTAGAGGATATTAAAAATGCACATACAATCAAATGTCTCAGGGGATTTAAAAATATGTCCTTTGGCCATATTATAGCAACAAGCCCCTAAAGATGCACCATGAAAAGTCCAACATTACATCAGCAGGAAAGGACACAGTCACTTCTCAGTACGTCTTGTATCCACCCACTTTGACACTCCTCACTTCAATCTTGGCTGCTTTACATTTGCAGCACATATCGATTTGACCGGGTCACGTTAAGGGCAGACTTTTCATTTGCTAATGGAAACCAGCAGTGAAGTAGATGAGTGGCCTGTAACCAAAAAGGCAACATATGGTGTTGGTTTAACCTTCCCAGCTATGTTCCAAGGTTAAAGTGTGCTGTTATGTAATGTTAGAAGAGGAGAATGATGCTCCAGTAAAAAAAAAAAAAAGGGGATTTTGTTCATCTTGTCTGATAATTATCCTCTTGTTCTGACAGAAAATACTCATCAAGAATCATCCTGCAAATTCTTACTGATCTGTGCACAAAGCAACGGAGCAATCTGCTGATGATTGATGGAACTAATTTCCCAAAATAACAGCAAGATGACAGAACCCCGCATGGTGAAATCAGCATTGAGAAAATCCATAAATGCATCTTTGACACTAAATGTGGGCTTCTTTTCCATTTATCTGCTCTGCCTGAACAAATCATGAGATGAGTCGAGGTGGGTAAAATTTGCATAGTGTTGTTAAATCAAGGATATTAAAATTGGATGCATGATGGGAATCAATTCAGATATAATTTCTAGAAAGTAAAAAAAAAAAAAAAGAAAGAAAGAAGATTCTTCAATTTGATTTTTGGCACAAGAGGATACTTTAAAGATGACAATCAGTGATGTGGGTTTCTACTCAAATTTAGTGAATTTTAACAATTTTTGTCCTAGTTGTTAAATTGATAAAACAGCAATTGAAACCAATCAATTCAATTCTGAAGTAAGAGCATTTAAAAGCAGACTAATTGAAAGTGAAACCAGAGTACCACATATGGCATATCATGACTGTTGACAAACTGATATACAGCAATATACCAGACAAGCCATTATCTTTAAATTATCTTGAGTAGATCAGAATATAAGGGTCAGACAAGAGAAAATTTAGGGCTGGATGGACAGAGACTATCCCATAATATGCCCAACCATTGATGGGGGGGTCCAATAAAAACACAGAGCAGAATGGGGTGAAAATTGGCTTTCTTGAGTTTTTTTCATTATAAATTCTACACAGCTGGAAGAAGATAAACCAAAAAAGATACATCAACACACCACATAGATCACAAACAGTGTAGTACAAAATATACAGAATACAATAAAAAAAAAAGAGAGAAATAAAGCACTAATAATATCTCGTAAAAAATCTAAAGTAATTTAAAAAAAAAAACTCCTCTCTTAGTGACTGGAGAGAGCATGGAACAATGGAAAAATAAAACTCAGTAGTTCCAAGATTAAGAATCCCCTTTTTGACAAAAAAAAAAAAAAACAACAAAAAAAACACAATTTTGATACAACAGCATTCTTAAAAGTTTATGTCAAAACAAATAAAAACAACAAAAAAACAGTTGTTAACATATAATCATTTATCTTTACCTGCTGTCACTCGTCTGTTCAAAGTCAGTAATGTTTAACAGCAAGATCAGCAGACAACTATTACAAAAATAAAAGTCTTGAAGCTGCAAATGGTTTGAGGTGACCTTTTTAATAATAGGTCCTTGGTTCCAGTGTTCAACAAAGTACCCCCAACCTGTTATCCAACTTGTTTTTGGCCTGCTGACAGTGCACAAAAGAAAATGCAAGTAAGAAAAATGTCTGGATTATCGACCTAACAACAGAAATAAATGCTGCCGTGACTGGCAAAATCTAGTACCGTACTCACTCCAGCAACAACTCCCACATCTTTCATTTCCTGTCTGTTTTACACTAGAGGGAACCTCTGCCAGCGTTTACTTCTAACAGGTGACCACAAAGAAAAGTCACATTTAAAATTAAAAAAACACAGCAGGGCTATTCAACTAAATTGCTCAGGGGGCCACAGTTACTGAAAGCCAAAAGCTCAGGGGCCGGACATCCAGCAGTTATTGTCGTTAAGTAAGTTTGTTTTATGGTTTAAAATCTAGTTTTATTTAAAAACAAAATCATTGTTGGACCGAACTGGGCACACCGGTGGGCCTGATTAGGCCCTCGGGCCACCAGTTGAATAGCTCTGGTCTACAGTTTCAAATTCTTTCCCAATATCTTCAACTTTAGAGCAAAAACTGGAGCTATTGGACCTGTTTTTATTACTTCTCAGCTTCATGTCAAGTTTCAGCCCACAGCGGAGAACTAAAAAGCTGCAACTGTAAGAGCGCTTTGTAGCCGCAGTCGCCTCGGACACTCGCAGAGCTCCTCCAGGTTCACAGACAAGAGAAAACAAAAGCATTCTTTGAAATTTACAGATGCAACGGGGGAGCAAAAACATAAACTACATTAAACATTTGCAGCTGAAACGGAAAATTTGTACAACTTAATGTGGTTGCTTTTGAACTGAACTTTAAAATAAAGCGAGTGATTTGAGAGACAAAACAGATTGATATGAAATATTTGATTTGATTCTGCTGCAAACTAATCATGGATATTAAAACAACATTATAAAAAAACCACCCAAACGAAGCAAAGACAGAGCTGGTTGAGCAAATAATTTACAGCCGAACAATGTGCTTGAGTGATTACATTAAGTGAGCCAAAATGAGGTGAAATGAAAACAACCTGTCGTATTTTTTATCCAAAACATCCCCAGCAGACGGAAAAATTTGACTAGACTCTAAAACAGAGATGCTCCTCGGTGTAATACTTAAAATCAGACACAAAATGTTATGATTTGAAGTAGAATGCATACAAATCCAGACAGTGTTTAATTTTTTTTTTAATTCACCTTTCAGTCTGCATTCTGTAGAGTTCACCGAAGATGTGATTGGTGAAAAATAAAAATAAAAAGATTGTTTTGTCCAGTGATGCTGCATTTTTAATTTTGCATCCATCGTTTTGAACCTGCGTTAGCGCAAAATGGATGGAGTTCTGAATTCATAAACAAAAAGGAAAGAACGTCCGTCCAGTTTGTCTAATCCAGGTTACAAAAGAGATGCGACGAAGCAAAGTGAATCTCAAAGGTCACCAGAAGCCCAACACCACCTTCCATCGTCCCCGTCAGTCTCGTGAAGAAAAAAAGATCGTTGCTGTTATCATAACTGTCATCCTCTTCCCTTCATCCCACTGATTTATGTCCATCTTCCGTTTTCATCACTGAGAAAAAACACAAGGACGCAGAAGTTATTACAGCAAGACCGAATGTTTGTTTCAACGAATACAAATATTCTATAAACCAACAAGATACCTGTATCAATTCTCACACTTCTCTTTAAAAATGACTTTTTTACATTATGGTTCACAACAGGCGAAAAGCAAATTGCTTCTCGATTAATTTTATCAACAGATTTCCTCTATATAACATTTTATTCAACGTTTTCACGTTAATTTGCTTTTTGAGATGACTTTTTCAGGAATATGTGAAAATGTTGGACACACAAATTCATGAATAATTAATAGTAAAAGGCCAACGCAACAACACATCAATATTTATGGTTTTCTGCTGAAAAAAAAAACTCTATGAAAGTAAATACATTTTGAAAAGGTTTTTTTTTTTCACATGAAAAGCCTTTTTATTTTAAAAGGATTGTAATCAAACCTCAAAACACAATCATGCATGTTACAGAGTGGTTCTTTAGGTGCTGGTCCACAGGCAGTCCAGATATGTCTCTTGCTAACATTTGGTCAACTAGAACATAGAAAACGGAACAAAAACTAAAATAGTAACACATTTTGGTTTAAAAGCTAAGTTTGTATGAATCTTCTTGATTCTCTCCTTCAAAAACATCTTTCACAACTGATTTAATGTGTCAATATGCGTGGCATGGTGGTGCAGTTGGTAGAGCTGTTGCCTTCCAGCAAGAAGGTCGCTGGATCAAATCCCAGTCGGGGGCCTTTCTGGGTGGAGTTTGCATGTTCTCTCCGTGCATGCGTGGGTTTTCTCCGGGTACTCCGGTTTCCTCCCACAGACCGAAAACATGCATGTTAGGCTGATTGGTAACTCTAAATTGTCCCTAGGTGAGAGTGAGAGAGTGAACGGTTGTTTGTCTCTATGTTCAAGTCCAAGTAGGTTTCATTGTCATTCGCATCACATGTGGTACATGAGGTGGGACGAAATTGTGTACACGGGGTCTCAGTTACATCCAACAATAGCAACAATATAAATTGCAAAAAGAAACATCACTAAGGATACAAAGTTTGTTTTCTCAGTCATCCAGGTATATAACAACAAAAAAGGTTGAATCATGTCATCTGGACTTCGTTTTTTTTGTTAAAAAGAAACGTTTCGCCCCTCATCCAAGAGGCTTCGTCAGTCTGAGGCCTAGCCATCTGGTATTACCCAGAAGCCACCCTGACTCTTGTGTTTCAAGCCTGCCTCAGATACCCCTGAAGTCTGGCCTTTTCACTAATGGTTTCAAAAACACAAAGTTTGTTTTCTCAGTCATCCAAGTATATAACAACAAAAAAGGTTGAATCATGTCATCTGGACTTCGTTT